CTAATTTTAGGGTATCCGAGGGCCATTTTTAACCCCCCCACCCCCAGCCTCTGTGCATGGATAGCACTCTTGTGTGCTTGGTAGGGTACAATAACAATTATGGCTGATGTAGTGAAGTGCTACAATGGTTAAATTTAACAAGTTATGAAGCTAAATGCGACCCTTTCAGCATTCCATAGCTGTCATTTTGGGCATGGTGGTAATTTATTTAATTATCCAATGCCACAGGAATGGTTGGGAAGCATACATGGGACTGCATCTGGCCTGTGAGTCACGTTGCCTACCCCTATTCTAGAGGACTGGGAAGACTGTCTTGCATTACAAAAATGAGCCCTGAATCTCCATGATGGCCATATTTCCTTACAATACACCAGAACAACATAACTTCAGAACCTATAAAACTACTTTATATAAGATCATTGGTGCATGTAGCATATTAGTTCCTACACCCACAACATCCTTCTAGAACTTCAGACAGGTGTCTTTCCCAGTCCTATGCATAGATAGACCAGCGATTAAACCGGGACCATTCAGCATGCACAACATGGTCCCTACCTGTGCTATGCCTTCAGAAGACAAGAAGGCAAAATTTGGCTGTCAACAGAGAAGATAAACCTTGTCAATCCCAAATGTTCCAAAACAATTGTACGCATCCAATCCTTTTAGTTTTTCTTCCAAGCAACTGGGCGTAAGTTTTGTAACCCCACAAATAAAAGGTACTATCAACAGAATGGAGAAGTGAGCAGTTTTTCGACAATTTCCTATCTCTCTGGAGATTCCAACCCCAGATCTGTTCTAGGGTGGCACTCACCCCTCTAGACCAGACATGAGGGGCACAAGGATATGCAAAGGAAGAGGGGAAATAGCTAAAAATGACTGCTTCCTTTTCTGCTGGTTGATGCCTTCCACTGGTAGAAGGCACTAGTTGGGTACCACATTAGGAAAATTGGGTACTATGCTAAGAAAATTGAACAATAATACTTTCTGCAACTATTTCAAGACATAGTAGCTGAACACCTGACAACAAAATTAAACCCATCTCTCCTACTGTAAGAATTCTGAGAAATTTAACATACTGTGATAAATAGACTACATCATTAATTGCCAGGTGCCAGGTGGGTAGGGTGGCATTTATCATCAGGCAGTTCTTGAGACCACCTGTAGTGTTTTAATTCAAAAGTCTTCCCACACAAAACTAGCACATATATAGCCATCAACTTGTAAAGATCGTCTACTTGGAAAAGTTTTGAATAACAAAAAAGGTGACCTTGGAATACATCATATATAACACACCTGCCTACACACATTACAGCAGAAATCACTGTATATGCTGCATACAATGACTGAATCATACCACAAGAGAACGTGCAGTTCTTGTCAGCCATTACTAGTACCTCATTTCTAAGAAGTTAGAGGAAAAATGAGAGACAAAAGTTGAGCTGGTTAAGGACTTACAGGAGACTACATTATATCTATCATATTTATGATGAAAGGAATCTTTGCCATACTGTCAGGATCTGGGCTGCTCTGGTAGCCAGAACTAAAGCAACCAGAGGACAGCAGGACTGGTCCCAGGCCCTGCTGGGCTCTCAATCTACAGACAAGCACCAGTTGGGAGCTTTAAGAAAAAATTACATAAAAGCAAGCTCTTCCATGCAGATCTGGCCTCAGCAATGCACGTTCTCCTGTTTGCTGTTCTGCCTGCATCCTTCCTGAGCTTTTGTGCTCCAGCTCCTGCTCCTGCTCTGCATCCTGCACCATGCGTCCTGCCTCAGTAACACAGGCTCACCTTTGGTGAGCTTTGCTTTGGCGTCTGCACCTTGCCTGATGGCTCCCGCTCCCGGCCCCAGCCCCTCCATGTTGCCTTGCTGTTGTGCCTGTCTCTTGCCTGGCCTATACCTTGCCTTGCAGGGCTTCCTATGAACTGTGGTTCAGCCCATGCATCTTGCCTGAGTCTTACTGCATCTGGTTCCTGTTGCCTGAGCATCTTGCTTGCCATGTCTCCTGCCCTGTTATCCTGTGCAAAGTACCTGCACCTGTTTGTCCTCCTAGTTCTTGACCCTGGCTTGTTCCTGGCCATGTGCTTGTTCTGCCCTCATACATTCTTTTGGTTCCATGGCTATGATTCAGCCTGTACCATGGCTCTGATTTGGACTTGCCACTGAACCCTGCTTTCGCACTCTCTTTCCTGATGTTCTGCTGCCCTGATCCTGGTGCATCTGTTGCTCTTGTCTTGTCTCTGGCCACTCACATCTCAGCCCCAGACCTTGGCACGTGTAATGAACTGATGGTTCAGTTGATAATAGTTAACAAAACGTTTTCACATCATGGCCATATTCCAGAGAATTTCATATATTCTAAACAGGATTCAGACAAATATAGTAATTTTCTACCATAGAAAGATACTTTCCAGCTGAAGGGAAACTGTTCAAGAACAGTTTGTGATACGAAAACAATAGTCTGTAGTTCCAAGAAATGAAATGGCTATCTGAATGTATATATAAGGCCTTGTACATGCTTAGTGTAATGCCTCTTTAGACCCCATCTTTTATTCTTTAAAAACAAATTTAAAAAGTCAGTGTCTTCCTCTAAAACAGATGAATAATTAACCATAATCATACCTAAGCAATGAATAAACCATTGTTACTCTGAGAGCAAAATTCATAAATCAGTTTATTAAGAATTAAGATATTAGATTGCTAAAATATATTCCTCTAAATAGACTTAAAAATCAACCCAAAAATCCTTTCCACAACATGCCACACAAGTGTCAAGTCGCATAGTCCTTGCAGAAAAACCAAAACTAGGAGAGAAGCAGAGTGCGCAAATTAGAAGCAATAACTAAGAATTAGAAGGTAGTAAAAAACGCTTTAGCTATGCCTGAATCAGTATTTTACACTCAAAATACAGTAAATATGACAAATATTCATGGCTGTTATATACTGTGCTCTCTTTTCACTACCTTTAAAAGAGTTTCTTCTTTGATGTTACTGAATAAATAATTTGGGGATCTAACTGGAATCCAGTGAATTTTTCCACATCAAGGAATTCTTCCACATTAGCATGACAGCCATAATTTAATTAAAAAAAAAACATAACTGGGTGCAGTGAAGAACAAAAAAAAAGTCCAAAATAATGACTATGCAAATCATCTTAGATGTGGATGTTAATTAATTGTGCTCACTGTAGTACAGACCAAACCACTCTCTGTCTTTACTTTGGTTAGGAGAAGGCTTTTCACACGCCGGTGCTTAGAGTAGGGATGGTCAGCTTTGAAGAGGTCAGGCCCTTATCCCTGTGTCCCCACTCTCTACGTTGACTGCATTCTTTCTGCTGTGGCATCACAAAATTAGTAGCAGGGTGGCGACAGGAAAAAAAAAAAAAGAATTAAGAGCAGCAAATTGAAGAAGACTGGCTTTAAAAGCAATTTCTAGGTATTATCTGATAGACAGAGTTTTCTTTGTATATTCTTGAACAGTTTGCTTCTACTGTTACTTGTCAGGCAGGTTACATTTTTGGGGTAAAAGTCAACAACACTTAAGCAATTTATGTTCTATTTAAGATTACAATGGAGAAAAATATAAGCACATAAAAACCAGTGCTCAAACACTTAGAGATTATCAAATGTGGCTGAAATATACCCAATATATGTAAGTCGCATGCATATGGAAGTGCTGCAGCCTGTACAGAAACTTACAAATTTAGGTTTAAACAGCAGAGCCAGCATAATAACTGTCATTATTTTTAACACAGTGCTTTATCAAATACTAAATTTGATATTTAAGCTATACTGAATGGCCTTCCTAATTAAAACTTCATCATAACAATATATTTTCCTAACATCAAGTTATATGTTAAATGCAGCAACAGCCAATTTAAAACTAATTTTCTGAAAATGAGTTATTGTAAATGTGCATTGGTATTTATCCAACAATATAAAGAAGTTCAGGCAATCTACATAATAGTCATATAATAGTGATTAAAAAGAGTATAATTTAAGGGAACAAATATTTTACTGATGACTACATAATTCCCTTATGACAATAGTAAGTGTTAGAAGCTTTATCTTTTTAATGTATTAAAATAAAAGTATGACCAACTCATGAAAAAAGCCTGTATAGGGTCCAAAACCCAGTCAAGATTTAGCCTATTTATTTTCCTGGAGATCAAAAACACTTGAAACCATGTAAAATAAGGAAACAACAAACCACATAAGAATAATTATCAAAGTTGAAAAAGCTGTGAACAGTGGTTAATCATAGCCAAAGAGCAATCAAGTTCACACTGCATCTGTTACAAGATGTAATGATAAAAGGGGTATTAATTTCACACTGGAAACAAACAGGTGTGCAAAAAGGAAGCTGATACCCAAATGCCTAAATTTAGCCAGCAAAATGCAAACTTGGAAGCAGGTTACAAATCTTACAGTTAAACAGCAATTTTCATTCATGCAGGGAGCTGAATATGCAGTTTTTCATTGACAAGTTACGTTAAACATTTATAGATGTGACAAAAACACCAACACCCATCTTTAAGTGGAAATGAAGGCATTCAGAGCTCTCAAGCATCTGTACTCTGGAAAACAATAATTTTAAAGTCTCTTCTCTCCTTTTAGCTGCAGACTACTCAAATATAACTCAGAGTGTGAACTGTATAACATGATATGGCATGTTATAAGTGGATGCCATCCTCATGCTCTTCTAAATCAAAGCAATTTCAGAATCTCGGCTTTCCTCAAAGATAAAATACTTCCTATGCAATTTTCAATAGTAAACATCTTGTTTGATTAAAGCACAAAAACCATTTTCATGATTAAGAAATGACTTATGTCTAATACTGCAATTATAGCATTAAAATATATAAACATCTGACCTTGTAAAGTACCAGTAAACAAACTTTTGCTTTTATGGTTTCCTATCCAAGAAGAAGGCAAGAACAAGTGTTTTCATCAAGACAGATTATTACATAGAGGCTACGTAACAAGGAAGAAAACTACATACCTGATGCTTCTTGAACTTTCACCTTCAGACCTGTAAAATAAAATAAAAAAGTAAAGTTCATCAACTGAAGGTAATCTGCTTCATATTTGTCTGCTATTGCCTGCTATTTGACATATTTGTTTTCACAGTTTTACTGATTAATTAGATTTCTCTTCTGCCCCATTAGCCAAAATGGTCTCTCATTTTGAGATATGTAAAGATCTTTGTAATTGAACAAAGTAGCAGTTTAAATGACATCCTTTAAACTGATGTACATCCTACATTGCATGATAGAATATCCACTCAAGCAACAAGACTTTTCTATCATCTTTGCTCCCAGGTATAGCTACCTACTTCTGGAGCATCCACCAACATTCCAGGGAATACAGTGGGAAAAGGGATCACTGCAGGTGGAAAGGGAACTGCCCTTCCCATTCTACTGACAAATCCTTTTCCATCAGTAGAAATATTTAATTGGCTATCATTTTAGTTATGCATGACTGCTTGGCATGATGCAGGCCTTCGAATGAACATCCACTAGAACACAGTGCAATGCATTTGGATGTTCCATCTGCCTGCAATTCCTGATCTAATGAAAATGAAATGTGCCTGCTGTCAAATTCAAACTTGTTAAGAAAAAAGTATCAATTTCAGACTAAGCATACAAGCAGTAGATTATTCTATACAGCTTTGTTTCCTTTTCTAGCCTTTGTTTTTGTTTTCATTTCAAAGTAGCATTGCAACAATGTAAAATAAATATGAAGGCTCAGAAGTTTAAAAAAACTCCACAGGAGTCCTGATTCCACAAATAATAGCATTTTACTTCTAAAACCTTAAGTGTCAAAGTCAAACCAAAAACAGGAGTTATATCAGGGGTGGGGGATGTAGTCCATGGGCTCTGTGTGGCTCCTGCCACCCCCCCCCCGGGTGAAGCTCCTGCAATTAAGCATTTTTGCCAACAAATTGTACTCTATAGCAGCTATGGAGTGCTAAAAATATCCCATTTACATTGTTTGTTTTAGCACCTTGTGCTAGTTAAATTTAATCATAAAGGATTAAGCTCTAAAGAGTTAATTGGCAAGCAGGCTAAATTTAACCCTTTTAGTGCTACTGAATGCTACAGAGAAGTTTCCTGTGGAATGCCAATGGCAGTCTATCAGTTTTTTAAAATGTATTTCTCTGCCCTCCAGCTACCCCCCAGAGCTCCAGCAGTTGCTCACCTGTGCTAAACAGTTTGCAATTTTTAAACTGAATGAACAAAAATAAGAACAATACCACATAAGTAGAAAATGTTTAATGAGATTTTCCTACATAAAAACAAAACAATGGCAAATTGTCTAGGAGCAATCACAAGGCACAGGAGGGGCAGTAAATATTCTGCAGGCTTTAGATTCCCTTCCTCTTAACATGTGGCATTTTAAAATGTAGTATATTCTATCATTTCTGGGTAAGAAAGCATGCTCAAAAGGTGACTATAAGACATTCTGAATCAGAGAAGCTCCCTTTTCTTCTTGTATTCATAATTTTAATATGGTGATTAATGTCATTCAAACCAACAGAACTTCAATGTTTCTAAATAAAAATAGAATGCTGATGCAGTCTTTTGACAGAATCAGGAAAATGATCTTACATATTCTCCACTGCATGCTCCTCTTATTCATGAAATATTAAAATTGTATACAGTGTCAGTGACATGGGAAGCATGTATCTCTGCCTTCTAAGGGCAGGATGATATATATGTATCCATATCTATTAATATACACGTAAATTATTCCTTTTGTGATTTCAACAGAACCAGTTTATAATGAAAAAACTGAAAAGGGAACAATTATATGTAAATTAGCATTGTTGGGTTTTTTTTAATGTTAACCTATTACTTTACAGTCATTTAGTGAAGAAGTATATTCCATATTTCCTCCACAGGGTTTTGTTTTTTGTTTTTTGTTTGGGAAAAAGCTTGGAAGCCAAGCTTTTACTCCTCTCCCTGAAATTCCCCATCCCTTATTTTGTTGTTATTATTGCCGTATAAGTCTCTATTTTCTATTTATTTTACTATTCTAATTCTGCTACATTAAATAAAATAGAATTCCCATCCTCACTGCCTTCCTACCAGTGGATCCCAGGACTTGATTTCATGGCACATGGTGCAGTACCTAAGTAGTTATGGTTATAGATTTTGCCTGGAGAAGAAACTCCCTGGAAAACCAAGGTATACCCTTTGAGTTTCCTCCCAATAAATCCAGTCCATTCACCACCATCCAGTTCAGAGCAAGTATCAAGCCCACCTACACCTTGAAACTTGGATTACTTACTCAGGCTATGCAGCTAACTGAAGCATTGTTTCATGGCAGCAGAGCTGTCCATGGTACTATTGAAATAAATTTCGATCATCTAAATCAGTGATTCCCAAAGGGTATGGTGGAAAGATCAGCGCCCAGTGAGTTAAAAGGGACTGGCAGGGGGAGATGTTAGGAGATTACCGATGAGGCCCCATGGGGCCTCTTAAGCTGACCAGCCCTCAGGGCCATCGATGCTGTGCCTGCTTCGCCGCCACCACCTCCACCAAAGAGCCTGCCTTGCTCTTCCTCACAGTCCCATAAGCCACTGTACACCCACTTCTGATGCCCTGTTGAGAGCCAGGACAGGAAAGGGGGCAAGAGAGGCCAGGAAAGCAAGGGGTATTAATAAAGTTACAGAAAATCTAACCACACCCAAATATTTCATTTTTTTGGTCTAAGGCTGTGATTTTAGTCAAGTCGACAAAACCTGTAGCAAGTCAGTGATTATGAGTGCTCTTGCTGTTAGAAAAAATCAGAGTAATGTATTACAATGATACATGAAACGAATGTTTAAATACACAAGCCGGAGCCAAACAGAAGTAAACAAAACACGCTATTATACACTGATCTGGAGTAGCAGGTTGGGGTCTGAGATGGTAAGCTTTCCAGATTGTGTTCCATTTTATTACTTTGTCAGGTGCACTTCAGGAGCAATACTACATATGGTTAGATCAGTCAATCAAGAAAGTTCATTGTACTACTCAAGGGCCATGACAAATCCATTAAATGAATGAGCATAACAACAAAATAAAGACTTTCAGAAATATGAATAAATTAAAGTGTACTATGAACAGAAATTAAGCTTTAACTCTGACTCTCTAATGCAGTTTATAGCAATTTTCTCCTTTCCTGATTTTTTTATGCTAAATCAAACAAAGCAACTTTATGTGTCACATAATTATTACTATCACTTAAAAGAAAAAGAACTGTTTCTGTCAAGGAATTCCTGTTTTCCTACAATATCAAGCGGTTCAAGAATCTCTCTCTGGATTCAGTAAACAGAAGCCAGATAAGATGTAATGAATGATATCTTCAACTTGATATAAAGCACAAATATATAATCTACATTCAAGAGGTACCTTGCTATATTGCCTATCCAAAACAGTGCTTAGCATAACTTGAAATCACAACTCAATAAAGGCATTTCTTAAAGAGGATGGTCTCAATATAGACAGGTATCTAGTTCTATAGTGTTGTTTTCAAAAGAGGAAACCACTTAGAGAATTTAGTATTCTCAATTAATTGCAGATCTTTTCTAGAGTCTGTCCAAAATAACCAGTCTCTTAATTGTTTCTTATCCAGAGTATATATGGTATTTAGATAAGAAATATAATAGTTACATGCCAAATTATGGAGCCCTGACTTCCAGGTAGAGTTTTCATTCATTTCCAAATGGCAGAAAGCTGGAAAAAGTTCATTAGGGAGAAGAGCAATTTGTTCAGGGTACCGCAATTGAGCATGGGCCAATCTTGACCTGACGGATAGCCCTCCTGATTTCTGTGGACAAGGTTGCAGAGACTGAGGAAGGGAGAAAATGTTGATATTTCCAAAGAAAGAAATTTCCAAAATATTTATGGTAGTGCTGTCAGCCCCCCAAATTTCAGCCCCTTAAAGCATTTGTGCAACCACTTTACTGCAATAAACTTTCAAGGTAGGTTCAATCAGCTGCCCACGTTTGTTATGATAAAACTTCATTAATGCTGCAATGGTTTGCTTTGCCTTCAATTTTACTACCATACCATGCTCTTTCCATGAGAACAACTCATTAAAAAGGATACCCAAGTATCTAAATGAGTGAGTTTGTTCAATAACTTGCTGGTCTAGACATCATCTATACTTAGATCTACGACTGCCAAAAACACATGGTTAGCTAGAAAGAATCTTACAACTCCAAGCATCACCCCAGCCAGAAAATAACCTGGCTGCTTGAAGAGAGCCCTGCTTCTAGGGTTTGGAGATTTATTAATCAACTTCCATGTGGTTTCTAAGGATGATTCACCTTTTTCAGGGGAGTTCTGATTAAGACAGTTAACCTTATCCAAGTTAAATCAGCCCTCTCTGTCCAAGTTATATTTATTCAAATATAATATAGTCCATTGTGAATTCTTCCACTTTCTGAGGCTGTCTGAATTGGAGAATGAGAAATACGTAAGAGACAATGACCATTTTACTGTGTTTACTGTGAGCATCTGGATAAGCTGCATAGAAACATGTCTGATATATTTCAGGATCTTTTTTTGCTTAAAATGCCAGACTGGGTGAGCAATCCATTCCTAGATATCAGCAATAAGGAAACTTCACTCCAAAATGACATTGAGCTGAGGCTAAATTTTAAAAATCATCTGCTGCATACCTTGAACTGTGGAACAAAGTCAAGATGTCCTTTATTGTCTTCCCCACATCATATTTAGTAGAGCAAGGCTTCAGTACAGTTGTCCAGCTTCTTTCCAGACTGAAAATACCTGAATGCCGGAATCTAAGACTACTTCTTAATGACTTCCAGCTTGATGCTGAACAATTAATATGTCTGCACCAAGCACAGCCATCCCATTGAACTATGAAATCAATGTATTTACATATGAGACATACATTTAATTGAAAAACAGGAAATAAAGCGATTTGCAAAGTTAGGCTTCATCTGTGAAATACATACACTTGTTTAACTTTATAGTGCCAGATTGGTTGTTTTAAATTTGCAATAGAGGAGTAGAC